TCCTATTGCGGAGCACAGGCTCCGGACGCGCAGGCTCAGCGGCCATGGCTCACGGGCCCAGCCGCTCTGCCGCATGTGGGATCTTCCCGGACCAGGGCACGAACCCGCGTCCGCTGCATCGGCAGATGGACTCTCAACCACTGCGCCACCAGGGAACCCCACTCTTAACATTTTAATCTAACATATTTTTCCTGCTAAGAGTAAATGAAAGTCTGTAATTCAACTAAATTTCAACAAAAAATAAATTTTAAAAAAAGAATAAATTAAAGTCAAATTTATTGTTTCTATTAAAAGTAAATAAAGACATTTATTGGATTCCTAGTATGTATAGGGATCATTCTTGGTACTAGGTGTACAAAGTTGAAAACTTAACTACACTTGCCCTCTGGGGGTTCACATTCTAGGGGAGTCAAGGAACTTTTAAAAGTTATTAATCAATGGCAAAATTAAGACTCAAGTATAAAGCACTACTAATTCTACCCCAGTTCTACCACTGCATACCTGTGGACAGGTTAGTTAAATTTTCTTAATGCCAGTTTTATGTTGCAGGCGTGATGATGATGATGATGATAAGGGCAAATTATTGAGAACCAAGAACCAAAATGTAAATATACTTAACATAATATGTCTTTCACTTTAGGAAATCTTTGAGGTAATGATAGTAGAAATTACTACTTTGGTACTTTGTGTTTTCCTTGTGCAGAATAGATACCACAAGGGTTGAGTTTACCATCCCACTGAGAGAGAATTGGGCGCTGCCATTCTTTGCAATTCAGATAGCAGCAATTACATATTTCCTGAGACCAAACTTACAGCCCCTTTCTCAAGTAAGTTTTTATAATACTTTGTATATATTTTTAGTTCTCCAATTTTATCTTAGAAGCTTCAGAAAATGTGATGTTCATAGTGTCCAAGTGCATGTTAATAGTTCTTATTCCAGGACCAATTTTTTAACTTGAGTTAAATTTTCTTTTTCTAAACCTGTTCCTACTTTGCAAAGAAAATATTTTCATTTTTGATGTTAAAAATGTACTCTACATTATCTGCCCTTAAACAATTGCAGCAAATCCACACAAAATTTCTGCAAAACTGTCAGAATTTTTAAGCCATTGCTCTTGAGATGTGATTTGGTGCATTATCGCCTCCATGATAATATGGAGTACACATACCATACGTGAATATTTATTTGCAAAGTGTCACATTAGGATATTTAGAACTTAAATAACAAATGCAAGAGTTTTCAGAGCAACAGTTCATAGTTTTTCTGTTTGGTTTATAGAGATATTGGTTGCTCTTGAGAACACTTGTCTGAGAGGCTTTTTATTACTAGAGACATGTAAATTATACAAAGATTTTCTTTTTACAGAGGCTGACACTTCTTGCCATTTTCCTATCAACTTTTCTCTTTAGTCTAACATGGCAATTTAATCAATTTATGATGCTGATGCAAGCATTAGTGCTGTTCATACTGGACTCCTTGGACATGCTACCAGCAGTGAAGGTAAGGTTTGCTCTCTTTTCTCAGTTGAGATGGTTGTTGTTTAATGTTTTATATGATAGAATGAGCTCAAAATATACACATGCTTAATGATAAAGTTGAAGCTGCTTCTTAGCTATAATGTAAATATGCTGTAGTCAGTTGAAGCTGAGTAATTTATGCAGCCTAGTTTGACCATCTTAATTTTTATTCTGCTTATTTTACATTAAAAGATGGATTTATTTCGGGACTTCCCTGGCAGGCCAGTGATTAAGACTCTGCACTTCCACTGCAGGGGGCACAGGTTCGATCCCTGGTCAGGGAACAAAGATCCCACATGTGGCGTGGCCTTAAAAAAAAGATGGATTTATTTAGAGCACAAATGTCTAAATCAGTTGTCCTTTATAGAGTTGACTTAAATTTTAAAATATAAGATAGCTCTTTTAAAATGTATTACTGTGTATTGTCCCACCTTTTTTTTCCCAAGGAAATCAATGGGTGTATAACAGCTTTTCTGTGGTACTTTGTAAAATTTTCATAGTAACGTTTACCAGTACGGGATGTGAATCCCTATTGATTGGTCAGAGGTCACATATGAAATAAGGAAATCTTAAAGGAAACCATTGTTTGTCTCCCAGTGTGTGCTGCTGTCATTTAACTGTATGGTTTTTGTCATGTGCAGAAATGTTTTAATGTGTTGTATATGTTTTTAAGTTGCTCATAGTTACTATTCTAAAGTAACAGTAACTTAAATATTTTCCAAGTATAATAAAATATCATCACCAGATCTAAGGCAACAATATAATCTAATAGAGAAGAGTTGTACTCACATATTCCATGTCAAAAGAGATGCAACAATCTTTGGAAACTGACTGAATCTGAATTAGGCAACATTAAAGTCAACCAACACACATATATTATCTATCTACTGAGTCATTATAATAGGATAGGCACTACAGAAAATTCCAACCTGTATAAGACATTGTCCCATCCACAGGGAGTTTGCCATCTAGCTTGGGAAATAAAGATGTATATACAATTAGAGGGATGTCTGTATATCTATAGATGTCAATTTGTAGTAACAGTTAAGTGCCAGAAGTCTAGAAGAGGAGACTTCTTTTTCGGCTAGAAAGGTTTCACAGAAATGAGATGCTAGAGGTGGACCAAAAATGAGGAGACTAGAATTTGGATGGAGTTTGAGAGGGGAAGATATGAAGGTAAAATACAGTAAAGAAAGCAGGTGGATAAATGGGAAAAGTATGTGAAAAAGAATGGATACTTCTATGGGTATAACTGAATCACTTTTCTGTATACCTGTAACTAACACATCATTAATCAGCTATACTCCAATATAAAATAAAAATTAAAAAATTAAAACTATTTTTAATTAAAAAAAGAAAGCAGGTGGATAAGTCAAAGTTAAAATGTGTATATATGTGTGTGGGTGTATAATATATGTATGTGTGTGTATATATATATGGTATTAGATGATGATAATAGAGCCCACATGCCTCTAAAAGCTGCATGTACAAATGAAGCTGAGCTTGTTGCTGTCTGTTTATATTTGCTTTCCTGTTTTGTAAACTCTTTATGCTTTGTTCATAGAGACTTGCAAGCTAAGGGAAA